GCTGTTGAGTATCTTTACTGTGGTGGGTGCTGAACCCATACATGTGATAAAATTATATAGAATTAACACATATACATACCGGAGTACAAATGAAACTGGGGAAACCTGAGTAAGTTTGGTGGACTGTAGCGTTGTTAATATCCTGGCTGTGATATACACTATTTCTGCAAAATGTTACCATTGGGGGAAACTGGGTAAAGTGTAGATGGAATCTCTCTGTTTATTATTATTTCTTATAACTATAGGTGAATCTATATCTCATTAGAAGTCTCAGTTAAAAAAAAACCATTTTGCCAAAGTAATCTTGAGAAAGAAGAACAAAGCTGGAGGCCTCATGCTCCCTGACTTCTAACTATGCTACAAGCTAATCAAAACATTATGGTTCTGGCACAAAAAGAGACACATAGGTCAATGGAATAGAACAGAGAGCCCAGAAATAAACCCACACTTACACGGTCAGTTAATATATGACAAAGGAGGCAGGAATATACAGTAAGGGAAAGACAGTCTCTTCAATAGAAGGGTGTTGGCGAAACTGGACAGTCACATGCAAAAGAATGAAATGGCACCAACTGTCTTAACAGCATGCCCAAAAACAAAGTCAAAATGGATGAAAGACTAAATAAAAGACCTGAACCCATCAAAGTCTTAGACGAAAACATAGGCAGTAAAATTTTGAACATGGGCATTAGTAATTTTTTTGTGGATATGTCTTCTCAGGAAGGGAAACGAAAGCAAAAATAAACAAGTGGGATTACATCAAACTAAAAAGCTTCTGCACAGTAAAGGAAACCATCAACAAAATGAAAAGGCAACCTACTGAGTTGGAGAAGATATTTGCAAATGATAGATTTGATAAGGGGCTAATATCCAAAATATGTAGAGAACTCATACAACTCAACCCTCAAAAAACAACCTGATTAAAAAATGGGCAGAGGACCTGAATAGACATTTTTTTCAAAGAAGCCATACAGATGGGTAAGAGACACGTGAAAAGATGCTCAACATTGCTAATCATCTGGGAAGTGCAAACCAAAGCCACAGTGAGATAACATCTTACACCAGTCAGCATGGCTAACATCCAGAAGATAAGAAATAACAAATGTTGGTGAGGATGTGGAGAGAATGGTATCCTCATGCACTGTTGGTGGAAATGTAAATTGGTGTAGCCACTGTGGAAAACAGTATTGAGGTTTCTCAAAAAACTAAAATAGAAATACCATATGACCTGGCAATTCCACTTCTGGGAATTTTCCCCAGAGAAAATAAAAACACTAATTTGAAAAGGTATATGCACCCCTGTGTTTATTGTAGTATTACTTAAAATAGCCAAGATATGGAAGCAACCTAAGTGTCCATCAGTAGATGAATGGATAAAGAAAATGTGGTGCATGTATGTATAAATGGAGTATTACTTAGCCATAAAAAAGAATGAAACCTTGCTATTTGTGATAACACAAATGGACCTTATATTAAGTGCAATAAGTCATGCAAACAAATACCATGTGATTCACATATGTATGGAATCTGAAAAACAAAACAGATGAAAAACAAAATAGAAATAAACTCATAATGTGGAGAACAGACTAGCAGTGCCTTGGGGGGTGTCAGGCAGGGGGATGGGTAAAATAGGTAAGGGTGATAAAGAGGTACAAACTTCCAACTAAAAATTAAATTAGTCACATGGATGAAAGTATGTCACAGAGAATGTGGTCATTAATATTGTAACATCTTTGTGTGGTGACAGATGGTAACTGTAATTATTGTGGTGAGCATTTAGCAATGTGTGTAGTTGTCAAATACCTATATTGTACACTTGAAACCAATATATTTTATATCAATTATATTTCAATAAAAATATGGTTACATAAAAAAATAAAGCATTGCATAAATTAATGCTTGATTGGAATTTAAAGTTCTAAATTAGAAACATCATAGTTCAATGTTAAATTAAGGTTATGTTTTATTAAATTAAGTTTTGTACACTTTGCTTGGTCAGCACAATTCTTTGTGGCTTCTTTTCAAGTGACCAATAATTCCCAATGGCAATCATCATGTGGACCTCTTGATTTAAATGAATGGGCTATTTTGACTTTCCAGTGGATTTTAAAAACTTGAGCTTGACCTAGATTATATGTGTGACCCAAACTGTGTGTATCTCCCCAGATTGACCTGAGAACCTGGGGGGAGAAAAGCCCATTTAGGTGAGAATCAGAAGAATTGGTTTGGAATAAAACAGAACCCATTTTATTTTTTATTTTTGAAAAGTTAAAAGATTCCTGGAGTATTTGGCGTTAGAGCCTTGGTACCTGATATTTAACCATTTTCACTTAAGAGGCAGACAAAAGTTTGATAGATGACAAGCAAGCACTTTTGGAGTAGAGATAGGTGGGCTGGGCTCTCTGTAAACTTATGTATATGAAAATGGTCTTTGAAACACTTGGGAAAAGCCCTTCTCCAGAGAAGCAGACCATGCAAGATGCTGCTTGCTCTGAAAGGCAACATCGCCCTCCCGTTTCTAGCCCCTTCTCTGTACTGCTGCTTCCAGTTCTGGGTGTGGGAGGGTTGGCGGGGGAGGATAGTGGTTGGAGGAGGTGTGGCCAAAGGGCTGCATGGACAGTGGGCGCTGTCCTGCTCTGAGGCCAGTCAGACGACAAGGCATGAGAGGCTCATCCTGCTCCATCAGGATTTCAGAAGGGTCATGGGGCTGGGGTTCCAACTGCATTTTATAGGCAAAGTATGAAAATCAATATTTTAGTGGGATTCTAATTTATACAACGGTTTTCATAGGTGATTGTTTTTGCAATTTTCACATATTTTCCTTTTTGTCCCCTGTCTGCTGTGGATGTATAATAGCAGAGTTGTCTTCACCCACTGGGGAGAATGAGGAGAGGACAGGAGGGATGGCAGAGAATGTGAGGTCAACTTGAGAGTATTTTCTGTGATGTTGTAGAGAGAATGGTGCTACTTGTCCACCATTGTGTTTGGCAGGAGGAAGACAGTGGGGGATGAGAATATGGCACAAATTGGTGTGTCCTCAAAGTAACTTCTGTGAGCATGGTTAAATTAATCAGAGACTCTCTCAAGCAGATGGGGTTTGCACAGCCCTCCCAAGTATTTCCTAAAGGTCGTTCAGTCTTTTCCAAATTGGAGCAGCTCAAGTCTCTGGTTAAGTTCCCAAATGAATCCCAAAAAACATTCTTTTTCCAAATGGATCAACTAGCACTTAATAAAAATGTAGCTCTGTGTATGTAGATGTATGCAGCCATGCATGTGTAGAAAAGAATTCCAAGTGGTAAATGCTGTACATAATGTTGAAAAAGAACCTTTTTTTTTTTTTTGCTTTGTTTTTCATTTGTTAGAACTGCTTCTTAAAATAGTCTTTGGTGACCTTGTTCCTTATAATTGGATTCTGCCCAGAGGTGAGTGTTTGGGGGAAAGTTTGAAGCAGATTTATGTGGCTGTTTCCTATGGGTAGTAAGATGGAAAAGTAGTAAAAATGAACTGCAGATTTCTTGGATTTTCTTGGAACTTAAAAGTGGCTGACTTAGTCACTCATTTAAAATGTTCTCTCTTGGGGAGGAGCCAAGATGGTGGCATGAGTAGGGTGGTGGAAATCTCCTCCCAAAACCATATGTATTTTTCAAAATACAACAAATACAACTATGCCTAAAATGTTCTCTCTTGGGCTGGAGTATAGGTTTGGTAAAGAATTGTAGTTGGGCAATATTTGGGAGAGTTAGCATCTAAGGATGATTTACAATTTACAGTCCACATCTGTCTTTTCCTTAAGGTCTTTTTGTTTTCACAAGCAGACCTAAATTCAAGCAGTCCCCTCTTTTCAACTTCTGTGTTCCTGGAATCCGTATTTTTAAAACACACATTGAAATAACACATCATATTTCCCTATAACAACAACAATGAATATTTCTAGTGTCCTTACCATGTTTGCAGACATTGTGGTAAGCATCGAATGCATTAAGCTCACAACAACTTCATGGAGTTGATATTGTCATTATCCTAATTTTGTATATGAAAGAGCCGAGGCAGAGAGAGATTCAGTAACTTGCCTGCGGTCACACAGATAGTTAATGGGACACCAGGATTTAATTAGGCAGATGGATTTCAAAGCTTGAGGAATGAAACCACTGTGGTGTGTTGCCTCTCAAACAATATGAAAACATTATTGGGGTTTTAAAGTAAGGATTTACCAGCCAGATATGATCAAGAGTATATCATAAAAATGACATGTTAATTTATCTATTTAGTTATTCAGTCTCAACGAGTATAAAACTTGATAATTAAATAGAAAAATATTCCCTGATTCCTCTAAAATGAGAATAAATGTATCAGTCAGATTGACTAGGCAAGTCCTCAGTATCACATAAAATAGGTGAGATACACTTTTTCTGTGACATAAATTTGACTGTAAACAATATGCTAATAAAATAAAAATGTAATTAGATACTTAATTTTAAATCTCTGGTTTAGACTCTGGAAACCCTTTTGTGGTCTGGATGGCCCATTTTCTCAAAAAGACTCTTGAGAAATGTGCACCAGTACTGTTTTTTCGCCTCCCCCTTTGGATAGTTTATGCCGGGGATAGTGTTCCAGGCTGGCAGTATTCTCAACTGCCTTCTGGCTTCCATAGTGTCTGTTGAAAAGTCAGCCAAATAATATCTTTTTGCTGTGGGATCCAGGCATCTGGGTGGCATTGGCTGAAGGCAGGAGGGTGGCTCCTTGCTTTCTGGTGGAGTTCTGGGGACCTGGGGGCAGCTAGCCATCACTTTGGGGTCATAAGGGTGGTTGCTCTGAATCCTGTTTGTCTGTGGGACACTAAATCCTCAGGGCACTGAGGACAGTTTGGTTCACGGGTCGCTAAGCATTATTGTCTTGCATGTAAAACCTTCAATAACAATGCCTGCTAGCTCACCCTTCTCTTCCTTCCTCCTGCACCCCCTCCCTCTGTGTCTCTCTCACTGGGTCCCTCTGGTCCGCAGCACAGGCCCTGGATCCTCACAGCCTACGGAATGTGGGCCTGCTGGTGTGTGCTGGGAACCCCAGGAGTAGCCATGGTTTTTCTCCACACGACCGTCTCCTTCTGCGTAGCCCAGTTCCGCTCACTGTTCCTGTCATGGCTCTGTTCTCTCTCCCTGCTCTCCACACTGAGGCTGCTAGATGTGGAGAAAATTAAGGTAAGTGTCTCCATTTTGCCCTTGGGAAGGAGAAGACCCCTGTGGCATGCCCCTGTCGGGGGTGATGCCTTTCTTTTCAGATATGTGAACTGGAGAACCTTGGAGGAGCTCCCCCTAGTGGCCATGTGGGGTTGATGCATGTGAACCCTGGTTTTGCGGTCTGCAATCTTGTCTTGCATTAGACTGTATCTTAGCCCTCTGAGGCTGCCCAGGGCTGATCTTCTACGTTTTCTCCTAGTTTGGCTAGGCATGGATGGGGTCAGATGTCATAGGAACAGAGGGTCAGGAACAGAAGGAAAAGACCAATAGTCCCCTATGCATTTAATAGAAAATCACCTGTAGAGTGATGTACAGTTTATAGGGAACACTCACGTTCCTGATCTCATCCAGTGCCCATGATAGGCCCTGAGACGGATGGGGCAGGTACTGTCCTCACACAGAACACCTTGAGAAGTTTTTTATATTCTTTCTTTAATCACTCTGGAACTAGAACTCCTCTCTATTGTTGTTCATTTATTCATTCATGCATTGATTCAAGCAGTGGCACTTAGAATTGGTGTGCCCTGGCATGGAATGCAGGCCTGCTGGTGTGTGCTGGGGACCCCAGGAGGAGCCATGGTTTTTCTCCACACCACATCCAGTGGATCACACGGTGATCCTCCCAAGGAAGAGGTCACCACGGGAAAGATGGGCCAATGGTCGGCCTGGTTTTGTTCTCCTTGTCACTGCCTTTCCTACTCTTGAAACTGGAGGCAGTCGCGTAACCTCTGACTCTCAATTTCATCATTTGGAAAATGGAAGTTAGAGCTGCTCTGCCCTCCTCATGGATTTGTTTGAGGCTCTCAGAAGATAATGCATGTCATGCGGTTTTGCAAAAATTGTAGCATTTTGAAAATTCAAATACTTTTTTCTGTTAGGTTAATTTTTCTTCACTGTCACCAGTGGATTGGAGCTAATACTAAACACACATGTCAAAATCTGGACTTAAGCAGGGTGGCCGCTCTCTCTTAACAAAAGATATGTAACCTCCCAGAGTGACTGACTAGGTGATCATTTAAATAAGCGTGTTCAAAAATAGATTTGCAGTAAAAATAAAGTGAATTCACACTTAACTTGTTGGGAACCTGGCAAATGTATGAAACAGTCTCCAGTTGTGCACAATAAGCATCAGTATGGATGTTGGTGGTGAATCAATGTTCCATTTATTACGCAGACTGAAGGTTTAACACATTTCGGCGAGTAGCAGATGACCAGAAACTAGTTGCTTTGGGTCTGCATGCTTTTGCACATACAGTTCTCTTGATCTTTTGGTGGCTGCTGATGTCCTAGGCATGGAATAGAAACTCTTCAGCACTTAGTTTTTCTGTAGAAAGCATTAAAAGATCATGTATATCATGGACCCAATGATCTGCTCATGCTTGTGTTTCAATTCTATACTTGTCTGTAATCCCATAAATTGTTTTTCTCATTAAAGAAGCAATACTTTTGTATTATACAAAATATGGAAAATATAGAAAAATTGAAAGATTATAAAATGATTCATAATTTTACTCCCCCTAATATTAAGATTTTACTACATTTACTTCTAGTCTTTTGTTCTGTTCATATTTTTGAAAATCCTGCATTATAATTACATTTTGCATACTGACCTCCTCTATGAGAATTTAGATGTAATGAGGTCATGGACTATTTCTTTTGACTTTGTGTCTCTAAAGGTTATTTGGCATAGTCCTCAAATACATGTAGGGCCAAATTAATTACAGAAGAGCAAAAGGAAAAATACATTGAAGATAGAAATCCCATGTGACATTTATAAGTCGGTCTTTGAAAGGGCTGTCGAGATACACGCACTGGGTGTAGCTAATCTCCGTGTGATCCACTGGATGGATGTGATGTATACCTGGGGAAACCTCATTACGTTGCATCAGCCCTAATGCTAAGTTGATGGTTGATGTCAGAGACACTCTTCTGTCTTCATTATCTCATCAATTGCTTGTTTTGGTTACTGATGAGATTTGCCTACTACTCAGTGTTTCTTGACTCCCTTAAAGGTATACCTGCTATATATGAAAGGGATCTCCTTCCCTGGAGATTGGATGAAATGCCTCTTTACCACTCAAGGGTTATTCTCCCCTTGTGACTTTGCAGAGAGGGTGGTACCAGACGGAAAACGAGTACTTCTTGCTGCAGTTCACACTGACCGTTCGCTGCCTATACTACACTAGCTTCAGCCTTGAGTTCTGCTGGCAGGAGCTGCCCACGAGGCACGTCTCCTGCTCCTTTCCCTGGATGCTGGCCTATGTCTTCTATTACCCAGTCTTCCACAACGGGCCCATCCTCACCTTCCCGGACTTCATCGGACAGGTAAAGCCCGCTGAGACTGGATCGGTGTTCTGTAGATTGAAACCTCTGTCCTTGCTGCTGTGGTCATTCACGAGACCCCTGAGTCTCATCATTCAGGGGTGCCCATGAATTTAAAACACACACATTATTGTCATGGTTTCTTACATAATAAATAAACTTTGGGGAAAGAAGCATTCAACATGCAGGTGAACCTGTCTCTTGTGCACGTAGCTCTGGGATCCCCCACCCTGATTCTTGGCGGCCTGTGGCAGTCCAGAGTAGTAACTGGGTGCCGCAAGGGACTTGGAGTATCCCAGCTGGGAAGTCCCAGGGAAAGAAAACGCTGGACTTTGATGGTATCACTTAGAAAAGTAGAATGAGAAACTGTCTGTGCTGTTGGCGAATAGTATGTTCTCTTTTATTTTCACAAACTGCTTATAAAATAGCCCTGCCATAGCCTGGGAATAGTTCCGGGCACCTAGGTGAGAGAACAGAGTGGAGCTGAAGAATTTGAAGGCAACAGCATGTTTTCGGATGTGGGTGCCTCTTTCTGCCCAGGACCGGCTGCCTTCTCTGGACAGCAGCCTTATCTGAAGCTCACGCCACACCACCTCTGTCATTCCCAGCTCACTTTCCCTCCTACTTAGAATTTTCTCATTCCACAGCTAACCTCATGGTACGTGTTTATGAAGTTAATTCACTTAAGCTGTAAATAAGTGATAATACCTAAAACGGTGTTTCTCCAGGGATGGTCCTACCTGCCACCAGCAATACAAAGCAATCCTCTGTAGCAGGTGCACCCATGTACACATACGTACACACATGCACACACACACACAGGCCTGGAAATGTAGTTCTAAGTGCAGGGCCAGCAGCAGAGTTGTGCATTTCTCGAGGGCAACATAAAAGGTATCCCCCTGGAAAAGTAGGAGGGTTCCTTTAGAAATGAAATCCCTTATTCTGTCGTAAAAACGCCACTACGTTATGCATTTTACTAAAAAGTATATTTCTCATTATAACAATAATGTGATGTTTTAGAATTGCCAGTTAAATTATTTAACTTTTCTCCGTTCACAAATTTTTAAGTGAAATTGATATTCTAGGCAGACATACGCTTAACATATGGCTTCTTATACTTCAGTTTGATTTACACAGGCGCATTCTTTAGTCATTGTAACTCCGTGGGGAAAATCCTGGGGCAAAATTTCTCTAAAACAGAGATCACTCAAAGGGAGAAGTAAAGTTAAGAAACACATTTATTTCTTACGAGCAGTCGTCCTGTCTCTCGCTTGACCAGGTGGCAGCAGAAGAGAAAGAGAGCTCCACCCACCCTCTCTGGTCCAGATAAACCCTGACAGGTCCTTGTAATTACCTATTGATTTGCAGATGACTAAATCTCTCCACCCCTTGGAAACACGTATTGATATGCAGATGTACTAAAACCAGGGGAGAGATTCTGGAAAAATTGCAATTTTACCCACTGTCATGAAGTAATTTAAAATCTGTGTTTGAAAATTTTATCTAAAATTACAGTGTAAAAGACAGTAGGGGGTTGGTGATGGCAGCTGATCTAACTCGGCAGTTCTCTAAGTGTGGTCCCTGGACCTGCAGGGTAAGGATCATCTGGGAACTGGCTAGAAATGCAAATTCTCAGACCCCAATCTACCGAATCAGAAAGTTTGGGGTGGGGCCCAGCAGTGTTATTTACCAGGCCCTCCAGATGGTTCTGATGCATGCTAGAGGTTGACAAGCTCTATCCTAAGTTTTATCCTAAGTTCCTCAGAAGAGCTGGAGAGTTGGGTGGGTTGGGGTGGAGTAGGGTAGGCATGGTAGTGGGGGCTCAGGCCCTCCTACTCGTTTCTTTTATGATTTCTTCACCATTGTGAGTTTTGAATTCTTCCCAACATTCCCTCCAATAACTCCTGGACTAAATATCCATACACACCCACCTACCCCTCTCTTGAAGATAGTAGTTCGTGGAGATATATAGGCCTAATCCATTAAGAGGAAACAAATTATTTTCCTAATTGCCTCTTATTCATTAAGGAGCATTGCCCTATGGGACCAGCATTTTGTTAATATGCAAATCATCATTCTTTTTATTTCTGAGCTCCTCCTTTCAAATTGTGTCCTCTAGGGTCTACCAGGACTATCAAGAGACGCATTGCAGGGTCCTCTGTCTGTTGTCAGAGGTGAGCTTTGAGATTACTGCTCACCTACATTCTTAGCTGAGGGCTCTCATTCCCTTGAATGCCAGCCTAGGGACGAGGGGGGATGTCTTCCTGTTGGGACTCGGGCATGGAGACTGGGTGCATCTCTGTCCTACCCTTCTTTTTCACTCCTTTCAAAGCGGTAGCAGTTACTGAAAGAGGGAACCCAGGAAGGGAATTGAAACCCTTCTCTATGCTCTGGGAAGATTCACAGAAAAGTCAGTGTAGGAAAAGCAAAATGTTTGTTAGTAAAACTACAGGGAAAACAAAGACAGCCAGGGAATTTTTGCAGTTGCTTGGGGTCCTTACTTCCCATGAGAAGAATGGGTCTAAAAGTACAGCAGTTAAAGTAGGAAGCTAATCTTGGGACTGAATTCCTTCAGAGAGGCCCAGAAGGAAAAGGCTGGGAGGGGGAAGGAGAAAGAGAGCTGGAAGAACTCGTAGGCCAGGTTTCTCTGAATGAGCGCGTGAGTGAGGGAATAAATGCAAAATGAAATGTTAATACCGAAATTCATGGCTCTTAGATTCTCCGGTCAGTGCTTACAAACTACGTAGAGCAGGAGAATGCGACTGTGCCACCAGGGGGCAGCAGAGTCCCATCTGGAAACCCACCCAAAGGGCAATCGATTAAATGACACAATTAGGTTCACCCAATTTTTTAATCATGTAAATTTACATACACAAGGTGAGGGGAGTATAGAAGAGGTGTTCTTTATAATGTAAGGCATATGAAATCTGCACTCATCGGTCACTAGTAAAAACTTGCCTGTTAAAAGGCCTCAGTGCCTTAATGTGAAGGTCATTTCTGATGGCATTTGGGGTTTTGGGAATATGGGCCACCTAATTTTTCACCAGTGGTTCTGTGGAACTCACATACTGAGTTGGGGGTGAATCAGGGGGTGGGGTTGGGAGCCCAGGGAAAGGCAGGACACGCTATTTATTTGCTGAGCTTGGAGCCTGGGGCTACCACATTGTACTGTGAACTGGCTGACTGCGCAGTGGGTGGCTGGAATGGGGGTAGAGGGTGAGTCCAAGTGGGGTAGGACTGGGGGCTTTTCCTCGCTGAGGGCTGTGCTCCCTCCCAGGGCAAAACCCAGTGCTCAAATAGGGAATTTGCAGGTCATGGTTAAGGGCAAAGACTCCGGAGCCCAGCCCTGTTGTTGTGGAGTTTGAATCCTGCTCTGCTTTGACTTGAGTGTCTTTGGGGAGTTACTTACCCAATTTGTGACTCTGTTTCCTTGCCAGTGAGATGAGAAGAATGGTAGCACCTCCCCATGGGACTGTTACAAGGATCAAATGATTTTGTAGAGGTAGTGTGGCTTGACACGCAGACATTATGAAGTGTGAACTATTACTATTGTTGTATGCCAGAAGTGGGTGGCAATTTGGGGTGATTTCTTGGAGGGGGTCATCAAGAGGCCCTGACCTCCTGCTGACCCACGAGCTGGGCCTGGGCCTGGGTGGCTGGGGGCTTCTCACCTGCTCTCCCGTCCTTCCTCGGAATATATGTTCCGCCCACTGTTCCCACACTAGGAACCGTCTCAAAAGGACACAGCCTTGAGAGAATAAGGTGGTGTTGAGACTGTCTGGACTGAATAGGGGACTGAACCCATTAAGGCCTCTGTGTAAACTGTTACTAGTCTGGTGGGCAGGTGCAGATGTCTGCTTGTCCTGCAGCCACTCAAGGCAGGCCTTGCAGGTAAGTTCCTCTGCTGGTTAAACCTGCTGCCTACCAACCTGGAGGGATCTGCCTCTTTCTTTGGGCTCTCCCTGCCCTCTGTATACGAGGGCTAGTTTCAGTTTTCACTCAGGAAGCTCCTAGGGGTGCAAACTAACATGAGTTTAGGCTAGAACTGAGTGAGACCCTGTGTATTCAGTCTGGTAGGTGGGCACAACAGCAGGGTGTTCCGGACAAGGCTGCCTTTGGGCTCTGAAGAGCTCTGTGTGCTGCTTCCGTCTCTTTGGAAGAGAGCCACAGGCAGTGGCTGCAGAGCAGCGGCGGGCTCAGCCTTGAGTGTCCCAGACCAAGCACCCAGGTTTCGGGTGGGTCTGGTTGTGGAGAGCAGCTGGGATCACACTGCCTGTAATAACAGTGCCTGCTCCCAGCCAGGTTCACACGCGCTAGGTCACTCACCCCCAGAACCCACCCGAGGGGAGGGGCGTTTATGGGCAGGAACGCCGAGGTAGTGTGAGGATGCAGTCACAGGGTGCAGATCCGGAAGGAAGGAATAACGACAGCCCCACAGCAGGTGGACGATGCAGCATGGCCTGGTGGACAGGTGGGTCTGGGGGCTCGAGCTGGGCACACCAGGTCTCACTCCGGGCAGCCACACTGACTGCAGGCCTGCTCACTGTTCTGAGAGACACTGTCGTAACCGTGGGCCTTGGCGTGCCTGGGGAGGGGACAGTGAGCGCAGGTGAGGGAGTGGTTTGTTGGGTGTAGGGGTGTGGTCTGTGTGCACGGACTGGAGAGGAGCTCCCCCATTGCGAAGGAACAAGGCTCTGGCTGTGATGCCCTTGGCCCAAGCTTGGAGGTTGGAACAGGGGAGGCACAGCTGAATGGTTGGCTGGGGGGAAGGCTGTTGTTTGGTGCTCTCCACCATGTGTATGATTAGTGTATGAAGGAAAAGAACCTTTCATCTTTGAGATCTGTCATCTTTAATCATCAGAATATCTTTGAAAGTCTTCAATATTCCCTTTTATGCAATTTGCATGAAATGAGGTTTTAAAGTATAATGTGTTTCAAAATGCACTTTGCAGATGAGTTAATGTGTATTTTTTAGTGGAGCCTTAACTAAAAGTTCCCACTGATGGCTGTTTCCAATGGTCTTCAGGCTGGCACTGCCCTAGGTTTAAACATCTCAAATCAAAAGCTTTGCATGCAGACAAGAGAGCAAGCCAGCTTATTAGGTGAGAGCTGGACTGACAAGGCGCAATTCTGAATTTTTTTAAATAAAAGGGTATCAACTAGATTGAAGGTGTAAGTGGACCATAATAATCCCACAACTCTAAGACAAAAAACCATTTTTTAAAAGTAAAAGCACACCGAATGAAAAATTAGATTGTTTTCCTTCTGCTGTGTTTGCTTGTACCATTAAGAAAAGACATTCCTGTTACCCTGAATGAGAAGGCAGCCAGCATCCGAAAGGGAACACTGCAGACAAACGTCCAGACCCTTCTGGTCCAGTGGTGACACATAATTGTGCTTTATTAGACCTGGTAGGGAGGTTTTGCCCTGGGGAGCGTGGGTACAGCCAGTCAGCCACAGCAGGTACCTCCTGTTTCTTCTTCATTACAGGTGTCTATGTCATTTTAGATTGCATGTTGTTTGGAGGAGGAAACGAGGGCCTCTGAGCTGACCTTGAATGTGATTGCCTGGAGCTGAGAGGTGACTGGAGAGACATATTTTGATTGCCTAGCACGACTCCCCTCCCATCCAGCTGCATCTCTGCTCCCTGGGAGGGGGCTCCAAGGCCTTCAGATGCAGGTCTGGTCCTCGGGGGGATCTGAGCTGGGTGTTGGCTCATGCCCAGAGGCCCCCAGGCCATGTGTGCAGGGTGGGTCATTTTAGAAACTGGAAACATTCAGTGTTGTGAACATGTCTTCTGTCAGCGCAGTGTTCAAGTCCATTGTCACATTCAGATCTGGAATAGCTCTGGCGCCTCACCGCTTGTCTTGGTTCCCGCCTCTGAGAACAGATGGACACAGTGTTGATAATTGTGTCCTCATTTGCTGATGGTCATTAGGTCAAAATGACTTTGCTTTAGAGAGCTGGGAAAAGATTGAGAAATAGAGAGGAACTCGGTACATAGCTAAGAAAATCTTCAAGTGAGGTGGGAAGATAAAGAGAAATAAAGATGGGTCTAGCAGAAAAGAAGGAGAATACTTGGTCACAGAGGATGCTTAGCTTTTTAGAGGAGATCCTGACATTAGGTATTTTTTAGAAGAAGGTGAATAAATGGGGGCCTTGCCTCGCTAGCAGAGAAGACCAAAGTCTTCACAATATTGTAAAGTTACATTGCCTTTTTGCCTGGTTACAAAAACACTCAATTGTTAAAAACAACCCCACAATCTCACCATCCAAACATTATAAGCACTTTTGCCACTTGGTATAAATCTTTGCAGCCTTTCATTATTTGTGCATATTGAACAAAGATAGTTTTCTTGCTACATAATACTGAGATGTACTTATGGATTTATAGTCAGCCCCTTCCTTTGGACGTTGGGATAATTTACCCTTTCTTCTCAATTAAATAAGGCAGACACCAGTGGTCGGGGCAGAAGGTATCTCTACGCTGAGGATTTAGCCATCCATGGCTTTTACATCCACGGCCGTAGAATTTGAAGGGTGTCGCAGAGCATGTACGCTGCGGTAGGGAGTCCAACGAAAACTGCTCTAGTTTATAATGGGCAGGGGGTCTGCACTGGGTCGCTTACTACAGGTGTGAGGGTGGTCAGCTAGCATCCAGACAAGTCCAGATAGGCCCAGTCTTCCTTCCTGGGTAGCCCCCCCTGAGTAGCACTTCCCCTGTCGACCTGATCTGGTGAATCCTTCCAAGCAGGTACTGTCGGCTTTCTGACAATGCATTGGGTGTGGTTGGGCAGAATATCTTCCTGACATGAACTACAGAGGACTCAAGGAAAAAGGAAATTCCCATCAGTTTGATCAACTTATATAAAAATAATTAAACGTACGAGCCTTCCTCAGTGTAGCTAGCCTAGCAGATGGCAGAGAGGGAAAGCCATTTGTGCAGGGTATCGTAATGCCGCGGAACCAGCCAGAATTTCTTAGTCTGGCTTCTTGCTGTAAGAGGACGATTTGAGAAAGTGGTGGCAAGTACTCAAAAATGAAATAGAAGTAAGTCCCCTGGTGTGCAGGTCTCCCACCCTTCTAAGGGCAGTTCCTGCCGCTCCTCCTGGTTACCGTGGGACCTGCTGTGCCTTTGATGTTAGACTAGGAGCTAAAGAAAAACCTGAGGACCACCTTCCCCCAGGAATAAGCCCATCTTGTTTATGTAGTGTCTTGAGCCCTAATTGCCAAATGCTAAATCAAGTCCATTGCCTCGGCCAGCTGATGTTTGCAGACTGGATATCATCATTTATGCATTAGCTTCACCTCTACATTTCAAGGCAGCCTTCCGTCTAATAAAATATTGGCAGTGTAAGAACTGGGAAACTTAGATGCTGTCTTGTTTTTCTGTGTCTGTCTAGGGGTGGAAGGCTGAAATTGAATTCAATCCAAATTTTATAGCATGCTTAGGCATTTCTGAATCTATGTGTTTTAAACTATTGTGAATCCCTAAACAGCAGGCAAGGAGGTGAGATCACAGAACCAGGCTACTTTGGTAGAAGTTTTTATTTCTTGGTCTGTATTGTCCACCCATATTGAGTATACTGTCAGTAGTTTGCCTGTATCTATGAATAATGAAAGCATCCCTCTCACCTTTGGTGTCTGGCTCTGAAGCGTCTCCTGATTCTGCCCTATCACTTTGGAGTCTGCAGTACCAGGAGGGGATGCTCAGGATCACACAGCTTGTGCGAGAATCTGATCCCAATTCTCTCAGACTCTAAAGTCCACATTCTTGACTATTACATAGTGCCGCCTGCTTAGCAAGATATTTGTCTCTGTTTGTATTTACGCTGCCTTATTTCAAAAACAACCGAAGATAAAGATGACCCACCCACACCTAATTTTTCCCTTGTTCTCCAGCTCCATCATGCATTCTCCCTTTCTCTTACCAGTCCTGTGCCCCTTCCTGACCTGGCCCTACTTTTCCCAGCCTTAGATGTGAGTGGGTGATGGGCGAAGACAGGCAGCATGACACCTGAGGCCAGAGAAACCCCAAGGTCCTGGGGTAGAACACCCGGGCACTACCGCCCACCCCTCACCCCAGGGGTTTTGCAAGGCCATCTTAGTTCTTGGCACTAGGCTAGCTTGTTGACCGCACCCTGTTCTTACTCCGGGACACAGCTTGGGCATGACTTCCTCACCCAACAACATGCAGCATTCCCAAGGCAAACTAAAGTACTCTTCTTTCAGTAGATACTGCACTGATATTTGTGGGACGTTGATTAAAAGATTGTCTGGAGGGCTATTTGAAAGATTTTAAAAGTTAGGGCACAACCTAACGGCTTCTTTTGTTCCTGCTTCAGATGCAGCAGCGGGAACACTGCTCACCCAGGGCCAAGCTCTCTGTCCTTGTCCTGGGGATATGCCGCCTCATCTGCTATTGGCTGTTGGCCGAGCTGATGGTGCACCTGATGTACATGCACGCCATCTACAGCAAGGCCCCCCTCCTGAGGGCCGTCTCCTGGTGGACCTTAGGTAACTGGGGGCATCGCTGCCGGTAGGAAGAGCGCCGAGGGTTAGCTTCAGAGGAAAGCTGGGCTTGGGGAAGACCGGGATGCGTTTGCCTTGAGCAAACCCTCTTTTTGAATCTTGTTCCTCTTGTGGCCAAATGATGCGTGTGTGAGGCGGCTGATGGAGGTGGGGCCGGGCTTTGTGGTCCGAGAACCGAGATGGCAGCAATCCCTTTGCATAACGGAAGCCTGCTAAGCTCAGCTGCCATCTTCATGGTGTGGTAGCACCGTGCTTGACAGGAGAGCACAGCCTCTGAGTCCCTGCAAAGGGGTCATGACTGCTCCAAGACTGAGTTGTTCTGCTGTGTTCCTTGCTTTTCTTGTGAACGGTGTAAAGAACAGAATATGAGCTTCGGAGACAGAGAGACATAGGTTTGAATCTCAGCTCCCGCAACAACTAGTGGGCGTCCTTTGGCAGTTTGCTGAAACTCTGCATCTTCGTCTGTCAGGTGAGTGGACTGACCTTTGCAGGGTAGTTTTGAGGACTAAATGAAACCATGCGGGTGATGGGCTTACCTCGTAAGGTGTCTGGTAGACAGAACAAATGGTGTGTGCACGTCTATGTCCCTCGTCGGCCCCTTTGTCTTGTCTACCCGTTTCTTCATATCTGCAAGTTGGTGGGATGGAAGTCAGTTCCTCAACAGGACGCAGTCTTCAGTACAGGGCTTCTTTGTTGACAAACCACCTTCTTTATTCCTCTGGCCGAAACCTCAGAGACCATGCCTCTTTCTGATGAAATTTCATTTCCTTGTTTTCTCTACTTTTAAGGACTGCCCTGTGGTCTGACCTCCAGCCTGTAGTGCAGTGGGAAATGTGTGATCTTCCAGTAGATTAAGCCCCTCTTTGCTGAGCGCAGGATTCGAAGCCGGACTCCTTATCTGCTTAGTCATTCATAGATTTAAAGCTCTTGATTGTCCTTGGTATCACACATGCATAATCAGAATGTTGTCAAGGAAGATTAGAAAAATGCTGAACTATCTCTCTTCTTTCTAAACAGGTCATTTTTGTAGTTGGGTGGTGAGGGTAGCTAATATAAGGTTTTACTGGTACACTTAGACAAACAGAATAGGGTTGAAGGATGGCTAATACTAAATCACATCCCAGTTGTACCACGAATTAAGAGAGTATATGAGTTTGGGTGATTTTAACTATGAATAATGGAAAACAACTCAAAATGGGTCTTAAATATTAAGCAAAAGCTATTATCTCATACAACTGTTACTCCTAAAGTCGGCACTAGGGGATGGTAAACCAGTGACTCAGAAAGGTCCTCAGCAATCCGTTTTGGTGTCTATCTACCATTCAGCTTAAGAACTAACCAGAATCCCAGAAGCCCTTGGTTCGTACCTGTAAGCCCATCACATCCTTTTACCCTTTCCACAAAGATAACCTGATTTGGGGGATTCATCATTCCCTTTTTTTAACTTTCTTTTAAAAAAGTAGACTTTATTTTTTAGAGCAGTTTTAGGTATACAGCAAAATTGAAAGGAAAGTACAGAGTTCCTATAATAGCTGCTGACCCATGCATGTACAGCCTCCCCCACTATCAACAGCCCCACATGAACCATACATTTGTTACAACCGATGAATCTACATTGACACATTATTATCACCATCATTTACGCGTTAGGATTCACCCTTTGTGTTGCACAGTCTGTAGGTTTTGTCGGAGGAATAATGACATGAATCCACCATTGTAGCAGCACTCAGAGTAGTTACACTGCCCTAAAAATGCTCTGTGCTTTGCCTTTTCATCCCTCCCTTGACTCTAACCTAGCAACTTACCATCTTTTTTTTTCTTACCATCGCCATAGTTTTATCTTTTCCAGAATATCATATTAGCTGGAATCATATACAATGTAGCTTTTTCAGATTGATACCTTTCACTTAGTAATATACATTCTGTTCTACTGATCTTTTAATTTATTCTTTTGTCAATATCACACTGTCTTGATTACTGTAGCTTTATAGTAAGTCTTGAAGCCAGAGAGCGTCTATCCTCCCACTTTGTTCTCCTCCTTCAATGTTGTGTTGGCTATTCTGGGTAAAATCATAAAATATAAACAATATAGAATCAGTTTGTCAATATGTACAAAGTAACTTACTAGGATTTTGAATTTCATTGAATTGAATGTATAGATCAAGTAGGGAAGAACTGATATCTTGACAATATTGAGTCTTTCTATCCATGAGAATGGACTGTCTCTCCATTTATTTTGTTCTCTCTGATTTCTTTCATCAGTTTTATAGCTTTCTTCATATATAACAGACATGTTTTGTTAGGTTTATACCTAAATATTTATGTATTTATTGGTGCTAATGTAAATAGTATTGTGTTTTTAATTTCAAATTCCACTTGTTCATTGCTGGTCTATAGGAAAGTGATTGACTTTTGTATATTAACTTTGTATCCTGTAACCTTGCTATAATCACTTACTAGTTTCAGGATATATATATATTTTTTGGTTGATTTTTTGGAATTTTCTACATAGACGATCATGTCATCTACAGACAAAAGTTTCTTTTCAAAATGTGTATCTTTTCGTCTCTCACTGTATTAGCTAGGACTTCCAGTATATTAAAAAGTAGTGGGGAGAGAGGACATTTTTGCCTTTTTACTGATATTACATCAACAAATCTGGCATTGTAGAGACTGACATTACCAAACTCACCGACCTTGCCTCCAGCCTCCACTCTGCTTCCAATTCCAACCCATTCTCGTCAATACTAACAAACCCCCTCCTCACCTGGCTCTGGCCCATTGCAGGCCCCATAATAATCATTCTTCTCGCCTGTCTCTTCTTACCCTGTATAATAAAGTTCATCAAATCCCAAGTCGGAAAAATCTCTAATCAAGCTTTCAACCAGCTTTTACTCAGGAACTACCAGCTTCTGGCCACAGAAGATCCCTCACCCTCACGTGACCTCCTCACCACA